ATCAGAACTGGAAGCGATTCTGAGGATTCCTATTGGAGAGGAAGGTGCTGGGGACTTCTGGGCATGGAATTTCACGGAAGAGGGGAAGTTCATGGTGAAGTCAGCCTACCATGCACTTCACAATGGCAATACTAATTTTCAACCAAGCGGGAATGCGGAGAAATGGAAGTGGATTTGGAGCCTTCACCTCCCCCCTAAGCTAAAATTCTTTATCTGGAGATGCTCCAAGAATGGGTTGGCAACGAAAGAGAGACTCCTTCACAGAAAATGTGCTCCTAATGCGACATGCCCAGTCTGCCATTTCCCCATTGAATCCATCAATCACTGCCTGTTCCAGTGCCCTCATGCCAATGAGGCATGGACCACTTTGTTCCCGTCTCTCCCTTTACCTCCCCAAGGAACTTTGTTCTTTGACTGGTTTTTCTCCCTCAAAGATGCAGTTCATCAGAATTCCTTGATCCATATTGTGGTTCTCTGTTGGAATATCTGGAAATCTAGGAACGAATGCGCCTTCAAGAATAGAATCTCGTGACCACCGAATGTGTGTCATCGAACGTTTAAAGAGTTTACTGAATGGAGCTTTTGCCCGAGGCCCCCACCTCCCACTACTTCCCTTCCTTCTCAGCTCAGGGGAATCCTGTCTCATACGAATTCTCCGCCAAGTAATCCCTCTTTGGTGATTCACTGTGATGGGTCGTTCATTAGCGACTCCCAGCCGGCGGCATATGGTGTTGTGGTTATTAATCATCATGGACAAGTGTGTGATGGGAGAGCTGACGATCTTCTTTGTTCTACCCCGATTGAAGCAGAAACTAAGGCTCTTTTAGAAGGAGTGAAATTAGCACAAGAATATGGAATCGAGTGTACTGTTCATTCTGATTGTCAGGTGTTGGTTAAAGCTTTAAATTCTAATCACGCGAGATGGCCGTGGAGATGTGCAGCCTGGATAGGATCGATTGTCAATATCCTCAAGACATATTCGTTCATTAAAGTCAAGGAAGTGCCGAGAGCACTCAATGTCAGAGTTGACTGGGTTGCACGTTCAAAGGCGAGAGCGACGCTCCCTGATGACTGGATTAATATTCTTGATCTAATTTCTGATCTTCTGTAAAATTGTAACCTGGTTTACGCTTCTTTCGTTTGGTGGAATAAAAGTTGTTTATCATTGTAAAAAAAAAAAAAGAGTATGAAACCAGGCCAATTATAAGAAAAGGAAGTCGAAGTGGCTTACACAAGTCACTCGTCCTTGTATTGAATATGTTCCGTCACATCCAACCCATCTTATCATTGCAAAATCAAAAGTGGGACTTGTTTAATTTTCCCAAAGAAAACTTGAAATGAAAAAGATTGGGGAGTTACTTGATGATGCTTGAAACGATTGGCATCATTCCCATTTCTATCTTTTGCCACTTCTTCTCCGTATGTATCTTGTTCCCTTTTATATCGCTTTTCCTTTTCCATTTTGGTTGTTTTTTCACGAAAATAAATTACGAGTTCCAAATTCCAATAGTAAAATGTTTCCAATCATATAATTGGTACTTGAAATGATCAACTTTGATTTGTCGACATCCTTGGAAAGACTACTTCCACAAGGAGGAAACTATCAACATAGCTAGTTAACAACCAAGGTAGTTAATTATTTAGGTCAATTATGAAAGAATGACACACTTAACTTTGGCTTGATAAATTACTAAATGATTGTTCACGCTGACAAAGTTACGAAAAGATCATTTAAACATGTAAATCCAAAAAATAACATTTTTGCACTTGCTTTAGTTTGCTTCTGGAAAAATCGTCCTAATCGAACCTTGTAAATGAATGATCTAAAATTCATTCAGCAATTTTTCCCTCCCAACAACTTAAGTTTATAATTAAATGGTTTTTGACATAGTATTTAGAGTCTTTAATGATCAAGAGATATTGTATTCGAATTCTCGCAACTCTTAATATAAAAAATTAGTTGAAGCACAAGAAACCTGGATTAAATAGAAAATTATGCGGTCATGATCGAGATACCGAAAGCTACGATAGTAGACGTCATATTAGTAAGGTACTACGTATAGTTATTCTCTATAAGGATAGCTATCACATTAGATGCATCCTGGCGGTAGGCTATAGCAATTTGGATTAAAGTTATTAATAATCAAGATTATATTTATTGAGATTATATAGTGAACTCTGGTGTTTTTTTCCTGAGTTTTCTCTATTGAATTTTTCAAAGTGTTTATTTGTTTAATTTTTCTTTACTAATTAATTTGCCACTTGTCGTTTACTTTAGCTTAGCTAATGAAAATATGAAGTTATAGTGTTGTACCAATCTCCAGTGCAAACTTCAAATTCATGACTGAGTTTCGTTAGAAATGGCACATAAGAGAATGATATTAGTGTTACTAAATGTTGTAAGATTGATAAATAAACATCTCTATCAACAACTTGAGTTGTTGGAACCAATTGATTTTGTGGTGGCGTCTTCAGTGCACCCACTTTTTTGGGTGCATTCAATGCACTCGCCTCATAATCATCATTCCGAGCATGCGATTCAGGTCAAAACGGCATCGATCATCGCTTATAATATTATGAACAAGAAACACATGAATTATCAAAAAACTCATTCAAGATTTACTTTAATTTGAAGGATTTAGTATTTATGGATCTAGGGTTAGGGTTTAGATTTACAATTTGGGGCTTTGGGTTGTAATTCAAAATTGGAGGTTAAATGGTTAGAATAATGGATTGATTAGTTGTGATTCTATGTTATATCATCATATTAGATCAATTCTACCAATTACATTTAAGAGTTTGATGTATTATGTTCACTTTTAGAATTCAGTGTATTGAATACACAAAAAAAATGAGTGCACCGAAATAACACCTTAAAAAGTCTAATAATTGAGATTTCTAATATTATCACAATTTGACATCTCTCAACAATATAAAAATTATTAGAATCTACTCATTCGTTGGAAAAGACGTACGGGAACGGGAGAATAGAAATAACGTGGGACAATTTTTTTGGTGGATGAAAAAAAGTAATCCGCCAGCAAATCACTTACTTTAGTTTTAATGAAGTCCAAACCCGATCGTTATGGAATAGCCATCGGTGACACTGTTAGAGAGTCTACCAACATGTCTCATTTCCACCCTAATAACATAGCTACGCTCTGTTCGTTTCTCTCTTTCCTTTTTCTTGTACTGTTGAAACTATGAACTGATATGGTCTTTGGACACGTTTTGTTTGAACGTTATCTCATAATTAGTTCATTATAGTTTCTCTGGTCAATCACGCATCTATCTTACTAGCTACTAACACAATGCCAATAGAAACAACTGTCATGACAGACTTTTTTTTTTTTTGAAAACAAAATCATGACCGACTTAAAAAGAAGGGGGGAAACATTTGTGAACAAGAAATAACTATATACCTTATTTAGCTTTGTTTCTTCTTGTTACGATGATCATGTATTTCAAGTCCCATGACAAAAGAATTCGCATAAAGAGAAATTAGCGGATACTCATAACAAATTTATCTCCATATATAATTTTAGACAGTATAGGTCTAGAACTCTAGATCGATGTTTTCTTACATGAAAATACGAGCAAACAATTGATTATGAGATCCTTTACTTCGTGGATTTGGACATTTGGTACCCAAATTTCATTCATCATGAATTTAAGCAAAAACTATTGTTTGCTTACACTTTTTTAAAAATCCTTGAACCACACGAACTTGTAAATCCCACATGTTGATGCGGGATTTGAGACATAACATAAATTCAATTAATGTTGAAAAATGAGTTAGATTTTATGTCATTTCTTGTGTTCTAGTTTCCTTTTACCATTTCATGGAAGTGGAACGTATAATTCTTTGTTCTCCTGGTTCTAATATATGTTGTTATATGTTATACTTTTGAAGAAGAGGACAAGAAATTGATAATTGATATATGTTACGTTAAAAAATAAACGAGATTTCTTCGTTTATTATTATTATTATTATTGTTCTTGTGACAGTGGCAACATTATACTTATTAGTACTTATTGTGCTTTTATGATCATATCATAAACATGACAAACAAATAAAGCATAGTAAAGTAATTTTGGAATTTAAGTTCTAAATCTCAAACCTCTAAATCCATGATAAAACATCTCACCAAACAAAAGGTTATTACAAATTCATAATGCCTAAATGCTTGAGTTTTTAAATTACAAAACCCTCATTTTTAAATCAATTTTGTGATCAGCATATACGAGAATCATCAACCATAAAAAAAAGAAAAATATATTACTTTAGCCTAACCCATGGACGCAGGAACATGTCCTATTATAAGTCTAGGATACCCTTTGAACCTATTAACTACCACTCCAATTTGATCCTGTATTCTCTAAGGTGATGACTAACACGGTAACACCATTGTTCTATATACATTGCAATAACAAGGGGATCGAGAAAAAGACATAAAAAAAGGTTCTTTTATTCATTTTGGATAGAAATTAATGTGAAAGATAAAAGAGCATGTGGGGAATGAGGAATTTTACAATGCTATATAGTATTGGTGCTATAAAATTTTGCCTTTATGGTACAATTTGAAATTGTACCTTTAATGTTATGGTACAACTTCAGATTGTACCTATACTATTTATACAAATTCTTTTATGGTACAACTTGAACTTGTACCTTTATGTGATGGTACAACTTCAAGTTGTAAAGTTGTACCATAACATAATAGTACAAATTCCTTTATGGTACAACCTGAACTTATACATTTAATATTGTGGTACAACTTTAAGTTGTACATTAAAGCACCAATACTTTATAGCATAATAGAAGTGCTCGTGGGGAATAGAGAATATCTAAGTACAACCCACTATTTCCTCCTCTAACCTCTCCCGTCTCCAGCTAATAACTAGATCGCCCTTATACTGTACACTTGTTTGGTTCATCTATATAAACCTCTGCCCTCTCCACCAAACTTCTCGTTTAACTATACTCCCATCCCATCCCCATGCATGAAATGAGAGCACCGCTTGTAAATCTCCCTTACGGAGTTCCTGCTGGTTATAACGGGACAATCTGCAGCAGCAATGGCGGTACTGAAGTGGGAATTAGTCACAATGATGATCATGAGCTGAGAAGAGGGCCTTGGACACTGGAGGAAGACACCCTTCTCTCCCATTACATTGCCAGGCATGGCGAAGGCCGCTGGAACATGCTCGCCAAATGTGCTGGTACGTTATGTCGATCGATCTTCTCTCTTCCTTTCTTCCTTTTTCTCTCTCCGTGTTGATTTATCCCTGCAGAGAAAAAAATAGAGCTTTTAGCGACCAATGTGGGCGTAAAAAGTAAACATGATGGGAGTGCCAGAACTTCTTGCAACGAGTTTCAACTTTTTAGCAACCGTATTATTGGTCGCAAAAGCTGATTTTACCTTATGGTGTTCTATCTTCTCTCTCGATGGCAGGACTGAAAAGAACTGGGAAGAGTTGCAGGCTGAGATGGCTCAATTACTTGAAGCCAGATATTAAGAGAGGGAATCTCACTCCCAAAGAGCAGCTTCTCATCCTCGAACTCCATTCCAAGTGGGGTAACAGGTACAAATTTTCTCTTTTTAAGGAAAAATACCAACATATTTACTTCTTCTTTTTTTGGAATATTAATAAAGTACTATATATATACTTCGGGTCGTAATTAGTTCGTAATAATTTTTTCGTAGGTGGTCACGAATAGCGCAACATCTGCCTGGGAGAACGGACAACGAGATCAAGAACTACTGGAGGACGCGAGTGCAGAGGCAGGCAAGGCAGCTCAACATCGAATCCAACAGCAAAAAGTTCCTCGACGCTGTGAGGTGTTACTGGATGCCACGTCTGCTTCAGAGAGTTGAACAGCAGCAAACTTCGTCGTCATCCGATGGTCAACTTCCAACAACTTCAAATACTATGCCTGCAGATCAGAATCTGCATCATCAGGTGGCTGCAGTTGAATCTGGTTCTCTGTCACCGTCCGCAGCAGATCACGCCCATTTTAATGATGATGATCAGCAACTTATCTCTAATCCTTGTTCTAATTACCCATTAAAAGAGGAAACCCACTTCTCAAACTCGACTTCGGTCAATGGTCTCATGATGACGGACTCCACAACGATGTCGTACCAGCAAAACCCTGAGGGGGGAAAGATTCTTGAATCGGAATATGTCGGATTCTCCATGGGAAACTGCAACTGGAACATGATTCTGGGAGATGGAACAAACTATCATGATCAGTACTATGAAGAGATGTCGATGGTGGTGGATCCATTGATGATGGCAGCTGCTGCTTCAGGTTCACAGTCGACAGCTGATCATCCTGAATTGTGCCAGGTGGGAGGTGACGACAGCAACTGGGTGGGGTATAGCTATGACGTGGCGGATACACTATGGAACTTGGATGACACGTGGCAGTACAGGGGCGTCGAGGGAATGGGCATCTAGCTTGTTAGTTATTAATTAGCTGAGGCATCTTTTGTTAATTGTCTTCAAGGGTCCACTTATAAAAAGCCCCTCACTGTATTAATCTAGCTAGCTAGCTAGTCATAATCTTGATTAGAGTCGCTATTAGATGGTGATATACTATTCTACAATTTTCATTAAGCGATCATATTTATTAATTAATTATCATCCTTCTGATCATCAACCCTAATTGAGTTGGTATCTGGTTGGTGTATATATGTTTGGTGGCCATGCTTTTTCCTAATTAGTCTTCCCTTCGGTTAGAGACTTCTATAGTAAAAAAAAAGTATCCCTTTCTCCAACTAATTAATTATAAATATCCATATGTCCATTTCACAAACTTTGTGATGAAAAATACTTAGCATCCACCCTAATAAAAGTCTACATCTAAATCAACTCACTTAGGAACCCCTAATCCAAACAAATCCGGATCATAGATTCTTCGTAAAAAGGGTGGCACTTCTAATAGTTCATACTTATTCTTGGTCTAATCGAAGGTTAAGTAGGTTGAAAGTTTGCTTTTTCAAGTATTAATTCATCTAAACCTCATTTTTGTCCTCGGCCTCCATATATATTCCGATATGTACTAAGTACTAACAGAAAAGGAAGAGATGGTTGCGTTGGTTGTGAATTGAAAGGAATGATGGACAGAAGTGATAACACATAGGATTGAAAACAGAAGTGTTGTCACATCTACCAAATCTCATAGGACACCAAAGTGTTTGATGAAAAGACTTTGAGAGAGATGAAGAGAAAGGTGGAGGGATGAGATTGGGTGAATGTAGTCCCAAAACATTTCTTACCCCCCTCTTGATATTATTATTATTATTATTATTCATTTGTTTTTATTGCTTTATTACTAGTATCATCTTCAACTCTGTTGTTGAATCGAGTATAGGCATAAACACAAAGGCATGCATCCTATAAACTATCGAGTGATAGTTGAACCATTGTGATATGTGCGAGAAATGAACGCCTCATGTGCCGGAAAAAGTTGAGGCAATTTCGATTGAAGTGAATTCCAGTTGTCACTCGTATTATTTATGGACCGAGTAGATTAAAAGTGTTTTAGTATCTTATTATGTACAGGACTATCAGGGTTTTGATTTACATAATAAATTGTACTTTTTTAACTATTCGATCAATTTATCGCAGAAGCGAGATACTAGTTACTTGTTTTTCATCTCTCAATCTGCTATATGTTCTCTAAAATGTGTCTTATTTATTCTTTATATCATACTCGCTTTTTTCTCTGCTTATTTATCAGACCCTCCCGTTTCAACTTTCTCTCAAGTTGCGTAGCATATGTTTTCTTACATCACGCATGCCTCACAATTGTATGATAACAAATCAAATGGCAACAAAGTATAAGCAATTAAGCATGGTGATGACATTTACTCATTCAATAGGACATCTAAAGTCTTTTTCATTGGTCAAGGCCCCAAGGTATTGGGGAATTTCTTTAGCCACCACACCGCCTAAACTAGAGTGCTATAGAATTGGTAGCTAGCTAGCCTTTTTCGAAAGGAAATGACTTGCATGATATAGGTGCCAAGTTCATCCACATATCACATCTCAAAGGAAAAAACATTGGCGGTGGGAGAGGCCTATATCATATGCGCACATTTTGGCACTATTAATCTGCAGGAACAATGCTATTTATGCAAAATCCCAAAAGGAATTCTAGTCCAAAGTCAGAATTAGGAAACAAGGGAAAGAAAAAGAAAATTGTAAGATGATAATGCGTGCGACTTGTCAATCCTTTCATTAAAACATTATTATATACCTTATCATTGAACTGAGGATTGGATTGTTCAAAGTTTAATAATTACCACTTCGTTACAAAATATAACAATGCTATATGTTGGGTCCACTATAAAAAAAATTATGACGCGTTACTTGTCGATAAATCTCGATCTTCAAAATAGATATTTGACCTAAAATTTTAATGTGTTTGCTTGGATTGAAATGGCTATGGAAGTGGTAGGATACTTCTCTATGAATCCTTCCAAAACTTAGGTTCAATATTTGTTGAACATATGATCCACACATTGACGGAAGATATAGCCAATCCAGATCGACATCTAACACCGTTGTTAGCAACATATTAGCTTAGAATTGGACCTGTTTTTTCTTTTTATTTTTTACAAAAGATAATTATATATTGATTGAAACAATGGATAGTTACATCCTGGAAATCAGTCAGGTCTGGAAATCAAAGAAACGACTCATAGTCGGGTACAAAGAGAGGGCATTTCTATCCACCATATGGGCTACCCTATTACTACGCCGACCTACAAATCGAACACTAAACCCCGAGCGAACAGCAAAGTGATGCACAACTTCAGCAAGAATAGCACCCATCCGGCTATCACTAGTATCCGCTTTATTGATTTTATCAATGATGACCTTTGCATCTCCCTCAAAACTTATCTTCGTGAGGTCTCGACCCAGGCACCAAACAATAGCTTCTCGGAGCACCAGCAATTCCACCACCATAAGGTCATCAATAACCGGGAACTGTAACCCAATAGTCATAACAACCCTAGCTGGGGTCATAATAACAATCTCATCTGCCGAATGAGACCACCCCCCCCCCCCAGTTGCCTCATCCCACATACAAACAAGTCGATCTTCCCCCAACGGAGCCGAGTGTTGTATGTGGAGGAGCGACGGGGTGAAGTCCGGTCCACCGACAGGCGTACCCACTCCTTATATTGCTGGTTATGCTGACGCATCAAAGCAGAGACCTCAAACTGCTTACTTGAAAGATAGAATTGGACCTGTTAAAGGGAAACCAATTAGGGTTTTATGCATATCATGTGGGTCATTTTGACTAGGGGAGGCAGTTGCGTGGATTAATGAAGATAAAATGCTTTAAATGTGACAAGGAAATCACTGATAACCTCAGGAAATGTTGGGCATGACTAACGGACAAGAAAAGTTAACTTCCAGGTTGTACCAAAGGACAAACATTAATACAGCTAGCTAGCTAGATGCATGAAACATACTATTACTGGTCATGTGGTGATTGACTTCGACATTAATTCAAAGCACAACTGGATCACTTACGTTAGAGAAGTGAAATCTCTGTAATTAGTTCAATGAGCTTCGTCAATCCATGATCTTTAACAGTGCAGCGACAAAATTTCTCTCCAAATGAAAAGGATGTTAGTGAGGAAAACGAGTCGAGCTAGTTTGTATCTGGCTCGTTAACGAGCGATTCGAGTTTGATATATAGGGTTCATTTACTGAAAATTTTGGCTCGTGTTTGGCTCGATCGAGTTTGATTCATTAATGAGCTCACAAGAACAATATTCAAGTTAGATAGAAAAAAATAAGCGGTATTTTTACGAAGAGGTCTAATGTTGGAATTACAGTATATATTACAGTTACACAGACTACTCTACATTGTGAACTAGTTTTGAAATATTATAGTTACATGCCGTGTTTGACTCGATCGAGTTCGATTCATTAATAAACTAGTTTTAAACGTATCATGATATAACAAAACAGTCATTTCATCTCTTTTTAGCCATATTTTCATCCAAAATAACCGATTAGTTTGATGACATAGTGCTGATAACAAATTATCAACCAACTAACCAACCTATGAAATTACCTCTTATTTAGAGCAAGCAAACTGACCACTTTGGATGGAAATATGGATGGAAATACATGAAATAGCTATTTTGCTACAACATGATACTTGTGTGACTTTTTTTGTTACGTATTAAACATTTGTTACCATTTTATTATTTGATCAAACCTGTGTGACCATTTTGATCAATTACCCCAACTCGTAGAGTTAAAATTAAAGCTTGAGAAGTTTGTAGACAAGATTCCAGAGAGAAAAGGCAATGAGAATAACAGGTGATCAATGCGATGGTGCAAGTACAAACATCATCGTCATCGTTTAGATGTTATTCCATAGGATTCTTATTCTACCATGCACATGAGCAGAGTTCCTCTGCTTTTGCTTTTGGAGAGCAATATCTTCAAAAGTTAATTAGCAGCCAACACACAACAAGAACACTATCATCAGTATCTTATTCTATCAGAAACCTCCCATGATTCCCCATCTACTTGCCCTTCAATCTCAAATCATATATACCCCAATATGACAAAGTTAAAAATGTGTCATCACATGATGGGAGAAGAAGGCATTACAATCGTCATAGATAAATTCTTCAACATATTAAAAAGGCTCGTGTTTTTTCAGCGTTCCTGATAGTATAGTACAAAATTTACACTTATTTATACCTCCATCGGATAGGTCCAGTTGTTGATTCTATATCATTGTCTTAAATATCCATGCAAATGAAACCCAACTTATGAGTTTTGAAGCCATATATTTTGTGTCTACATAAACTAAAAACTAGCAGAGATCATGAAAATTTAAATCGGAAACTTATTTGTTAAAAACTCCGAATATCATGTCAATTACCAATTCATCCCAATAATTCAAAATTAATAAGACATTTCAAAGTACGGATCATATATCATTTGTCGTCCTGCCAAGTTGTTTAGAAAGAAATTTACCATACATAATCTGTTTGGTTGAATTCGTCCTCGCCTCCTCCATTGCTCCAACTCTCTGGTGCGAATGAAAACTTTTAGCTCTAAACATCTCAAGCATCAAAACTTCCATTCCACTAACCCGTCTACTCATGTAAAAGCGTGAGGAGACTGAACTCTCTTTAAGTTATTAATGGAGGGGCCAAACGAGGGAGAATTCCTTGGCCTCTCTTCTTGGCTTCCTCGATTTCCCTTTCATATATGCACAGTACATTGTATATATTGATTGCATATGGCTGCTTTAGTTAACCGGCCACGCTTTCCAAATAAAGAAAAAAGGGCAAGGAAGAAGTCAAAGAGTGAAGATTGGTCAACTTTTTCCCATGGGACGATGGGATAGAAAGCATATATGGTGCATGAACTAGCTAGCTAGAGAAGCAGCTGCTGAATCACGACAGACACTT